GGGACAATTCAGCATTGGGAGAGGACTGATTCTGGGACAATTCAGCATTGGGAGAGGACTGATTCTGGGACAATTCAGCATTGGGAGAGGACTGATTCTGGGACAATTCAGCATTGGGAGAGGACTGATTCTGGGACAATTCAGCATTGGGAGAGGACTGATTCTGGGACAATTCAGCATTGGGAGAGGACTGATTCTGGGACAATTCAGCATTGGGAGAGGACTGATTCTGGGACAATTCAGCATTGGGAGAGGACTGATTCTGGGACAATTCAGCATTGGGAGAGGACTGATTCTGGGACAATTCAGCATTGGGAGAGGACTGATTCTGGGACAATTCAGCATTGGGAGAGGACTGATTCTGGGACAATTCAGCATTGGGAGAGGACTGATTCTGGGACAATTCAGCATTGGGAGAGGACTGATTCTGGGACAATTCAGCATTGGGAGAGGACTGATTCTGGGACAATTCAGCATTGGGAGAGGACTGATTCTGGGACAATTCAGCATTGGGAGAGGACTGATTCTGGGACAACTCAGCATTGGGAGAGGACTGATTCTGGGACACTTCAGCATTGGGATAGGACTGATTCTGGGACAATTCAGCATTGGGAGAGGACTGATTCTGGGACAATTCAGCATTGGGAGAGGACTGATTCTGGGACAATTCAGCATTGGTAGAGGACTGATTCTGTGACAATTCAGCACTACAAGGGTTAAGATCAAGTATATTTAAACTAATTGAATTTAGCTACAGGCAAAATTTCCTTACCTTTGATTCTTGGTCATTCTGAAGATTCAACTAAAGGATTTTGAACTCTTTGACCCCAATGTCCTTGATATTAGGTCAAAGTAATTTCATCTCTCAAACTTTGCCCAAGAAGCTAACGACAGAACTTTGGAAGTAGATCAAGGTCATTCTTTTTGTAAACTTTGTTGGACTCCATCCCAGGAAGCTATTAGGCTAATATCATGATTCTAGGCCTTTCAATCTTCAGAAGAAGCTGTTTGAAGTTATTGACATTTGAACTGTGACTTTCAATGAAGGTGAAAGAGAATTTTAGATAATAATTTACATGCTCCAGAAGGAAGAAGCCACCTTTCATGATTGTAGCCCTTAGTAGGTTCTTCAGGAGAAGTCATTTAAAGGAAAAGTTTAAAAAACCCGAGACAGGAAAGTGAAGGTGCCCAATACGCCATAGTCTGCTGCTAGGTACCAACCATTTACAGAACACTAAGCATTGAATCATATCTATTTCAACAGCTGTTCCATGCAAACATTAGATATTTTCAAATATGGCTGTCGGCTGATCAGTAAAGGACTACAATCTTATCGTACAGGATACGTAACCTCAATGTAGGTAAGGCTTATCACCCAGAGCAAGACCTTATCAGGGCTTATAGAAACTAAACCTAACAGACAATGCATATTTGTAAGCTGCTAAAAACCTTTCGATTAAAACAGTTAAAGACAAAGCAGAGGAAAACTCACATTGTGTGTAACATATTAAATCTTTTCATCAAATTACTGAATTAGTAAAGTGTTCTTCCGAGTAAATTATTGTAAATTATTAGTCACACATACACACGTGCATGTATATATCCTGGTCAAATATTAGTCACACATACACATGTGCATGTATATCCTCGTCAAATATTAGTCACACATACACATGTGCATGTATATATCCTGGCCAAGTATTAGTCACACATATACACGTGCATGTATATATCCTGGTCAAATATTAGTCACACATAAACATGTGCATGTATATCCTCGTCAAATATTAGTCACACATACACATGTGCATGTATATATCCTGCTCCATACATATGCAGCTCATCAGATGAACTATTATGAGCTGGGTATTGGTAGTCTCATTTAAATTGAGGCTTTCTTATGCTGCACATTATCACTTTGTCCATTAGCCCAAAAATCATTTCAAATACATGTCATACCCAGCATATGACAAGTCATACACAGCATATTACATGTCATACACAGCATATGACAAGTCATACACAGCATATTACATGTCATACACAGCATATTACATGTCATACACAGCATATTACATGTCATACACAGCATATTACATGTCATACACAGCATATTACATGTCATACACAGCATATTACATGTCATACACAGCATATTACATGTCATACACAGCATATTACATGTCATACACAGCATATTACATGTCATACACAGCATATTACATGTCATACACAGCATATTACATGTCATACACAGCATATTACATGTCATACACAGCATATTACATGTCATACACAGCATATTACATGTCATACACAGCATATTACATGTCATACACAGCATATTACATGTCATACACAGCATATTACATGTCATACACAGCATATTACATGTCATACACAGCATATTACATGTCATACACAGCATATTACATGTCATACACAGCATATTACATGTCATACACAGCATATTACATGTCATACACAGCATATTACATGTCATACACAGCATATTACATGTCATACACAGCATATTACATGTCATACACAGCATATTACATGTCATACACAGCATATTACATGTCATGCACAGCATATTACATGTCCGCCTGTTTCTAAACATTTCCTTCAGGTTGGTAAGTATGGATTATGAAAAGTTTCTTGTTACACAACCAATAAGTGTTTCTATGTGACGTTTCGATGACTAGATCGGTATATACTCTGTCAGCTTCATCAGACAAGTGAAGTGTATGCACACCAAGGTGTAAAATGTGTACGAGTTGTTCACAAATCGATGTTGATTCGGCTACGCTGTAAACTTATGCCCAGTAGTTGTTAAATATGTACCGTATGACTTGATTCAGCTACACTTTGATTAATACTTGGTCATAGATGTGGGAGAAACGATGCACTTAGAATCATTAGGAAACGCTTAGAATTAGACAGATCCTTGCGTAAGAATCATTAGGAAATGCTTAGAATTAGACAGATCCTTGCGTCAGAACACAAACCTTCAGGACATCGTTGATTTGCTGGAATTTGTGCTGACAACAACATATTTTAGTTTCCGAAACAACATCTATCAACAACGCTTCGGCACTGTTGTGTGTAGTCCAGTGTCTCCCAATGTGGCCAATTTGTTCATGGAATATCTAGAGCAGGAAGCAATAGCCACTGCCCCCATAGAACGCAAGCCTAGCTCATGGAAACAATATGTTGACGACATACTTGAGATATTCACGAAGGCGTCACAGAAGGATTTGACCCGCATATCAACACCATAGATGCCACTAACAATATCAAATTTACATGTGAGGAAGAAACCAACAGCACAATGCCCTAGCTAGACACTCTTCTGGTAAAGAAAGAAGACAGAACCGTGAAGGTATTCGTCTAAAGAAAAAAGAACCATACGACCAATACCTGAACTTCAATCCTTTGCACCAGAAGTTAGGCGTCGTACGAACATTGCTCAACAGATGTGATACAATAGTCACAGAACAACAGGACAAAATACAAGAGCAGAGCAATGAAAACCTGTGCATATCCAGAATGGGCCCTAAAACAGGTACAAAACAGTGTGAAAGTAAAGGGAAGGACAAGAAAAGGACAATCAAGGGTACATCCGAATATAAAAGAAATCTAAACTCCTTGTTTGTTAATATCAAAGTTTTCCTTTCTACACAAACCATGTATGTATTAAACATACAATTTTGATACGTACATTGTTTGTGTAGAAAGTAAAAATTTGATATAACAGTGCACATATTTCCAAACTGATGAATCTTATTGAAAACTCTTTGTATATTGTCGTTTTATAAACTTCTATGAGGCATAAAATATCAGACAATGAAATCGGTCATTTCCGTTCATTTAGGAGAAATATTTATATATTTAACGTTTTCCCTAATCCAATTGATAAATTATACTTTCATTAATAAGTTTTAAGCAAAAATTAAAAAAAAAAATCCTGATCTCTGTTACGACAGTTGTCATCTAAATTTACATACACTTAAAGAAAGTGTGATAAACAATTACATTTTCTTCCTTAAAATCATTTCGATCCTCCTTTTTAGACACTCTTACCACACAAGAAACATGATACACATAGGCATCAGTATAGGCATTACAAGCCTAACTGGGTATTGATTTTCTACAGCAAAGAGGGAGAAATAAATACCATTAAACAGCGATTCTCTAGGTAAACATGACAGTGGAAGAAACTCAATATTACAACTTGTCACTGTCATGTGCCAGGGATTTCACTTGATATGGAAATCATTATATTGGTATGTTGGAACTTGCAGAAGTCGATATACAATCCATAGCTAGTCTTTACAAGGCCAATTATAACACCATCTATACTACATTTTCTGGATTGACATATCCAAGCAGTGATTTTTTTTTGGTGCATACAAATGTAATACAATTAGCAATATATAATATACATAGTTCTCAAAAATGTTCTTTATCTGAAGTCAAAAGTTTTGAATATTTAAAATGTTGAATTTGATTTGATCAATTTGAAATTATGACTTGCTTCAAATAGCAAATGCTTAGAAAAGGTTTTTCATGAAACTGAATAAATATTAAGTTTAATACAAAGTGTTCCCTGAACGAAAAAAGACTGAAGACATGATCAAAAAACAAAATTGTCAAAAACCGCACAAAAATCTGTCAGCCCACTGCCGATATCTTGATGTGTAAAGTGTACGACTTTTACCTGTCCTACGTGGGCGCCTTTGTAGAGTTTGCTCACGGTATTGGAAAAAACAGGCGAAGTCTTTAAATCTGGTTGTGCATCTTTAAAAGTAACCAGACCAAGTATTGTCAGCTTGATGTGTCGTTTTGTGTTGTAGGTTTTCGTTAAAAAAAAAAGTATTAAATAGAATATCTTACGATGTCTTTTTGATAACTAATGTTGGTACTACTGAAGGCACTGTTAGATATCCTATTGATGATAACTATAACCTGCTGAAGATTGTTTTCCTAATTTTTAGTTCATCAAGATTACCTTGGAGGCAATGGGATGGTACGTGGAGGAGGATATCTTCGAGGACATGACCCCCCATGGCATGAAGACATTCAGGAACATCATTGGGACTTACGACATCAGTAAACCCCAAAGACTTGTCTTGGCTGCTCATTATGATTCTAAAAATATCACATCATCTAAAGGTCAGGAGTTTTTGGGAGCAACAGACTCAGCTGTTCCTTGTGCCATCTTATTGGATGTAGCCAGACAGCTGGACTGTCTTCTCACCAAGGGCAATGGCAAAATGGTCAGTATGTGTTTAGAATTGGTTTGTGTCTGGTATTGAGTTTTCAAGTTAAGGTCAATATCTAGAAGGAAACATAATATGTATTCCAAAACATAAATAGATAAAATTCAATTAGTGTAACATACCTCTCTGGTCATTTCACTTAGTTTGGCCACCAAAACCTAGTGTGTTGTCTCTACAGACTAGGTAGTCTGCTGGTAGTACAACACTAATTATGTACTCAGATTGCTTGTCACAATAAGCTGATTGCATTGTATCAAATCAGCTGGCCATGCTTAAGACTTGTTACGCTTCGTCTGATGATCACTGCTAGATTAACACTGTATCCACTCTGTTGTTCAGCCAACACTGCCTGGATATAGTGTAGTGTAATACTTGTTACACTTCGTCTGGTGAACACTGCTAGATTAACACTGAACCCACTCTGTTGCTCAGCCAACACTGTCTGGATATAGTGGAGTGTAAGACTTGTTAACACTGTATCCACTATGTTGTTCAGCCAACACTGCCTGGATATAGTGTAGTGTAAGTCTTGTTACACTTCGTCTGATGATCAATGCTAGATTACCCCTGTATCCACTCTGTTGTTAAGCCAACACTGTCTGGATATAGTGTAGTGTAAGTCTTGTTACCCTTCGTCTGATGATCACTGCTAGATTATCACTGTGCCCACTCTGTTGTTCAGGCAACACTGTCTGGATATAGTGTAGTGTAAGACTTGTTAAGCTTCGTCTGATGATCAATGCTAGATTAACACTGTATCCACTCTGTTGTTCAGCCAACACTGTCTGGATATAGAGTAGTGTAAGACTTGTTACACTTCGTCTGGTGATCACTGCTAGATTAACACTGAACCCACTCTGTGGTTCAGCCAACACTGTCTGGATATATAGTGTAGTGTAAGACTTGTTAACACTGTATCCACTCTGTTGTTCAGCCAACACTGTCTGGATATATAGTGTAGTGTAAGACTTGTTAACACTGTATCCACTCTGTTGTTCAGCCAACACTGTCTGGATATAGTGTAGTGTAAGACTTGTTAAACTTCAACTGGTGATCACTGCTAGATTAACACTGTATCCACTTTGTTGTTCAGCCAAAACTGTCTGGATATAGTGTAGTGTAAGACTTGTTAAGCTTCGTCTGATGATCAATGCTAGATTAACACTGTATCCACTCTGTTGTGCAGGCAACACTGTCTGGATATAGTGTAGTGTAAGACTTGTTAAACTTCAACTGGTGATCACTGCTAGATTAACACTGTATCCACTTTGTTGTTCAGCCAACACTGTCTGGATATAGTGAAGTGTAAGACTTGTTACACTTCGTCTGATGATCACTGCTAGATTAACAATGTATCCACTCTGTTGTTCAGCCAACACTGTCTGAATATAGTGTAGTGTAAGACTTGTTACACTTCATCTGGTGATGACTGCTAGATTAACACTGTATCCACTTTGTTGTTCAGCCAAAACTGTCTGGATATAGTGTAGTGTAAGACTTGTTACGCTTCGTCTGATGATCACTGCTAGATTAACACGGTACCCATTCTGTTGTTCAGGCAACACTGTCTGGATATAGTGTAGTGTAAGACTTGTTAAACTTCAACTGGTGATCACTGCTAGATTAACACTGTATCCACTTTGTTGTTCAGCCAAAACTGTCTGGATATAGTGTAGTGTAAGACTTGTTACCCTGCGTCTGATGATCACTGCTAGATTAACACTGTACCCACTCTGTTGTTCAGCCAACACTGTCTGGATATATAGTGTAGTGTATGACTTGTTAACACTGTATCCACTCTGTTGTTAAGCCAACACTGTCTGGATATAGTGTAGTGTAAGACTTGCTACACTTCATCTGGTGATCACTGCTAGATTAACCCTGTATCCACTCTGTTGTTCAGGCAACACTGTCTGGATATAGTGTAGTGTAGATCAAACTAAAATTACAGTATTATATAATCTCAGATTGGAGTTTTCATTTATGTAAAAAGTTGTGCCCTTTGCATTTGGGTGATTCTCATTTTTAACATAGTTCCTGTTTAGTGTTACCATTGAAACAAATAGAAGAAACTATGTAATTTGGTGCTTCAGACCTTTTCTCAACTTCAACTCTCAAACTATTCCACCTATATTCGAGAAAATTGGTACTATTTGGATTTTTTATGGTAATGTGTAGATCAAACTAGCATTTAAAAGATCATTGATGACATAAATATACACTTACCTTGGTTAAGGAATTCAACAACCACTACAATCATTCCTAGTCCACAGTAGGTACTTTGTGACATTGAGATTGTCCATCTTTTGGTGACACATTTTATATAAGCCGTCCGTGAAAATTTGTATTTGATTACAGGCAGAAAATCTTACACCCCAACTTGTATTTTTTGATGGAGAAGAAGCTTTCCTTGAATGGACGGCCCATGACTCCTTATATGGAGCCCGACACCTTGCAGCAAAATGGGCTGATTCACCACATCCCATATTTAACGAAAAAAGTTATTTATCTTCCATAGTGAGTATAAATGACTAGAAACACTGTTAGTGTGACATGTTCACCTTTTGATGTAAATTAATATTGTCTTTGTTGCACACTTAATTTCACTGTAAACAAATTATCATCTGAATTTGGACAACTAAATATCTGACAAATAAATTACAAAGAATTTTCATGATCAAGAAAAAAGAAATAGTGCGAAGAAACAAGGTTCCACAATTTCATCAGCTAAATGGAATATCAATTGAACTATTCAGGGATGTACACAATGTCCTAACTTGAGCCGTGGCCCCTTCTCATCGACTATAGGAGAAGGTGGATAGCACCTTTGGTGTCTTAGTGAGAAATGACAAGTTGAATGGGTTTTAATACTGTTTTTATTTATTTTTTCTAGACAGCATTTGTATTGCTTGATCTCATTGGATCAACAGATGTGACATTTACAAGCTTCTTCCCACAAACAGAAGACTTATTTGAATACCTTGTAAAAGTTGGTGAGTTATGTGGCCTGTATGCCAAAATGATGGTAAATTTTACTGGTACTTTACTGCGGATCATGCTGACAAAATTTCTAATTCAAAAATTGATTTTTTTTTTCAAAGCATTTTCATTTCAGTAATAATTTCAATAACTTAAGTATACATATTCAATACTTACACACCATCTTTGTAGCCCCAAAACATAAGAATTCAAAAGTCCTGTCTTACTTTCCTTCACATGACCCATATCTTGATGATAGAGATACAGAATGATCTCACTTCCTCTTCCTTTTATGGTGCCCGCATGGTGCTGACGGCTTTTGCTATGCTCCATTTTTGACCTTTTTCAGGCTGTTTCGGTTTGATTGTTTTTTGCGCAGTTTGTGTGCTATATACCCATCTGTTGCTCCCATCTGGTGCTATATACCCATCTGGTGCTCCCATCTGGTGCTATATACCCATCTGGTGCTCCCATCTGGTGCTGTATACCATCTGGTGCTATATACCCATCTGGTGCGATAAACCCATCTGGTGCAATAAACACATCTGGTGCGATAAACCGATCTGGTGCTCCCATCTGGTGCTTTATACCCATCTGGTGCTATATACCCATCTGGTACTATATACCCATCTGGTGCGATAAACACATCTGGTGCTCCCATCTAGTACTATATACCCATCTGGTGCTATATACCATCCGGTACTATATACCCATCTGGTGCTATATACCCATCTGGTGCTATATACCCATCTAGTACTATATACCCATCTAGTACTATATACCCATCTGGTGCGATATACCCATCTGGTGCTTTATACCCATCTGGTGCGATAAACACATCTGGTACTATATACCCATCTGGTGCGATAAACCGATCTGGTGCTCCCATCTGGTGCTTTATACCCATCTGGTGCTATATACCCATCTGGTACTATATACCCATCTGGTGCGATAAACACATCTGGTGCTATAAACCCATCTGGTGCTCCCATCTAGTACTATATACCCATCTGGTGCTATATACCCATCTGGTACTATAAACCCATCTGGTACGATGTACCCATCTTCACTTGTTTGTACACGGAGTTATTTTACTTTAGATACTGTAATCAATAGGTAAAGGTGACCAAGCATTTTACTTTAGATACTGTTATCAATAGGTAAATGTGACCAAGCTATATACCCATCTGGTGCTCCCATCTGGTGCTATATACCCATCTGGTGCGATAAACCGATCTGGTGCTCCCATCTGGTGCTTTATACCCATCTGGTGCGATAAACACATCTGGTACTATATACCCATCTGGTGCGATAAACACATCTGGTACTATATACCCATCTGGTGCGATAAACACATCTGGTGCTCCCATCTAGTACTATATACCCATCTGGTGCTATATACCCATCTGGTGCGATAAACCGATCTGGTGCTCCCATCTGGTGCTTTATACCCATCTGGTGCGATAAACACATCTGGTACTATATACCCATCTGGTGCGATAAACACATCTGGTGCTATAAACCCATCTGGTGCTCGCATCTAGTACTATATACCCATCTGGTGCTATATACCCATCTGGTACTATATACCCATCTGGTGCGATAAACACATCTGGTGCTATAAACCCATCTGGTGCTCCCATCTAGTACTATATACCCATCTGGTGCGATATACCCATCTGGTGCTTTATACCCATCTGGTGCGATAAACACATCTGGTGCTCCCATCTAGTACTATATACCCATCTGGTGCGATATACCCATCTGGTGCTTTATACCCATCTGGTGCGATAAACACATCTGGTACTATATACCCATCTGGTGCGATAAACACATCTGGTGCTATAAACCCATCTGGTGCTCCCATCTAGTACTATATACCCATCTGGTGCGATATACCCATCTGGTGCTTTATACCCATCTGGTGCGATAAACACATCTGGTACTATATACCCATCTGGTGCGATAAACACATCTGGTACTATATACCCATCTGGTGCGATAAACACATCTGGTACTATATACCCATCTGGTGCGATAAACACACCTGGTGCTATAAACCCATCTGGTGCTCCCATCTAGTACTATATACCCATCTGGTGCGATATACCCATCTGGTGCTTTATACCCATCTGGTGCTATATACCCATCTGGTACTATAAACCGATCTGGTACGATGTACCCATCTTCACTTGTTTGTACACGGAGTTATTTTCCTTTAGATACTGTAATCAATAGGTAAAGGTGACCAAGCATTTTACATTAGATACTGTTATCAATAGGTAAATGTGACCAAGGATTTTACTTTAGATACTGTTATCAATAGGTAAAGGTGAACAAGCATTTTACTTTAGATACTGTTATCAATGAGTAAAGGTGACCAAGCATTTTAAGATACTGTTATCAATAGGTAAAATCTTTGTATGGGCTTTGGATCTCCCTCTCCCCATCTTCAAACTCCCATTTTCAAGGTCCCAGGGGTCAAATCTTTGACCGACTTCTTCTGAAGAACCAAGAGGCCTAGGGTGATGATATTTACTTTAGATACTGTTATCAATGGGTAAATGTGACCAAGAATTTTACTTTAGATACTGTTATCAATGGGTAAAGGTGACCAAGCATTTTAAGATACTGTTATCAATAGGTAAAATCTTTGTATGGGCTTTGGATCTCCCTCTCCCCATCTTCAAACTCCCATTTTCAAGGTCACAGGGGTCAAATCTTTGAACGACTTCTTCTGAAGAACCAAGAGGCCTAGGGTGATGATATTTGGCCAGTGACATGCTGGGATGAAAAGCTACCTATTTGTTAAAACAAATGACCTTCACTTATTTTCAAGGTCACATGGGTCAAATATGTTAAAATCTTTGAACGACTTCTGATGAATAACCAAAAGGCCTAGGGTGATGATATTTGGCCTGTAACATGCTGAAATGAAGGGCTACCAAGTTTTTTCAAACTAATGACCTTCACCCATTTTCAAGGTCACAGGGGTCAAATATGTTTAAAACCTTTAAACAACTTCTTCTGAATACTGAATTTACTAGTAAATATGTGAAATGACAAACTCACTTTGAAGATTGTATTTTATACACAGCAGTATTAAGTTTAAATCAAAAGTTACCTCAAGGTCAATTTACCGTTAACATGACTCGATCAAACGGATTAAAGAAAAGAAGAGAAAAGATTGAACTGACAAAGAACTAATGAAGATGATACAATGGTGGGCGCCAGGATCCCTCTGGGATCTCTTGTTTGAAATGTGGACTCTAATTGTTCAAGCTACTGTTTTTTTTAGCAGCTATAATTTTGTGTACCGTAAAAACCCATGTAATTTGCGCACCTGTGTAATTTGCGCAGGTACTTTTTGAGGCTGAAAATCAGGAAAAAAGCTTCTACTCGAATATTTTACGCACCTAAAAAATCTGGGAAAAAAACGATGTTCATGCTCCGAAAATCGATCTCTGAATATTTTTAAAAAAATATATTTCTATGATTTTTTGTTCATTGATGTAAAATGATATTTAAAACCAAGAAAAAACTGCGTAAAATGTGTATTTTGTTGCTTGTTTTCTTTGAATTATCTGATCACACTTGACACACACGTGTGCGCATATCGGCATACATCAATTCATTTTAGCAATATTTTACATAAAACATTTACTTGCTTACAAAAACATATCAATTAATAAGTAATTCGATGTTCAGTAACCGCTGGTGCATATCTATGGTGAAAGGCATAATTAGATACCTTTTATTGATCATAATTACGATCATTGAGAAGGGCTCATCATGGCGGCTTACGTCACTTCAAACCAGGTCATGTCACAGTTCAGTTTGGCTACGGAATTAGATTATCTAAGTCCGTGGTTTGGCAATATTTTTTACAAATTACAATGCAGTAATTAGCTAACACTATCTCTGTGATTACCCGTTAACAATAGCTCTACTAATTGAAATGATTTGCATTCGCGATTGACGGACCGTGTTGTTGTTTTTTTCACTCACCAACACGTGGCGTGAATTACGAAGCCCTACTGCATTGTCATAACAACAGACTGATTTGACTGATTAGGGATTATAAAACATATGTTTATACTAGAAGCGTGGACAATCAATACATCCTCTTCAAATCTACTCCAAGAAAAACAAGAGGCCCAAGGGCCTTAGCGGTCACCTGGGTTATATCATAGGTACTGGTAGCTTTATTTTATTGTTCAGATGTGATGTGGAAATCAGCATGTAAACTAAGTGAAATACAATACTTGTCTTGTCATCAAAGGATAAGAATTTTAAAATATTTGTAAATGTTCCCTTTGGGGCCCCGCTCTAACCCCTGGGGATGGGGCAGGAATTCCAAGTTTACAATTTGATACTGTCATCCACCAAAGATGATTCTGACCAAGTAAAAATAATTTCCAACAGAAAATTGTCAAAATATACCCAAAAGTGTTGTTTCCCTATATAAACTATAGTAAACTTTACCCCCTCCCCAAGGGAAAACGGATAGCTCGGGGGT